GGCGCGAGGTTCCGGAGCGGCGCTGCCCACCGCTGGCCCGCCACCCTCTTCCCACGAAGGAATCCCGCACTCCCCGCAGCTCCCTTCCTCTCAGCCCGCGCCGCGCTCCAGCCCATGGTGCGCGCGCGCACACACACACACACACACACACACACACACACACACACACACTTGTCCCCACGTAGGTGGGAACTGGAGGAGACCGGCCAGGAGTACCGCAGGAGGGAAAGCTGAAAATGCCTCCAAGGAAGAGTAGCGAGACTGAAACCATAGTGCAGCGGGTGGGGCGCTCGTCTTGCAAGCCCAGACCCAGGTTTGATTCTAGGCATCCCGTATGGCACCTAGAGCACCACTGAGAGTAATTTTTGAATGCACAGTCTGGTGTAAATCCTGAGCATCGCCGGGTTTGACCCAAAAACTGCCCCCACGAAAGCAAAGGTGGAGGCGAAGATAGGGGAAGCTAAGCGTTTCATGTTCCCTGGACAGAGCCTGGGTAGGCACGTGGCTTGCTGGCGTGAAGACGCGGTTCAGTGCAAGTCCCTCTCCCAACCTTGGTGCCAGACCCGGGTCATGCTCCCGTGCAAGTAGCCCAGCAGCTGGAGCACGTCCTGCCTGGGTCTCTTCCTTAGGAGTCAGTGGCTCTCAACTAGGAGAGTATTTGGATCAGGGTAGGGGAAGCCGGAGACATGGACTGGCCACATCCCAGCTGCCTGTTTACTCCAAAGCTGCTGCACCGTCTGTGGGGACCACCCTGTCCCTGCCACAATCCTGGGTTTGTGAACAAAATCAGCTGGGAGGGTTGGAGGGTTGCAGTGTATCCTGCCTGGCTCTGGGGCGCTTGGCTCCATGTGGTGGCAACCCCGACAGGAGCTTGCCCAGCTCCAACCCTGCAATAGGTGTGCACAGCACTTCTCCAAGGCCATGCATGGCTGACTTAAACGCTGTCTCAAAGCCATGAGATCTGATCTCCCGCCCTCCAGCATTATTTACAGGGACCATAAAAAGGAATAATAACACACTCAACAATTTCTTCACGGTTATCAGGATATTGGGGGGGGGGACCAGCTGAGTGGGCACCTACCCCTCAAATTGTTTCTGTGCTGTTGGAAGAAGGCAGCCAAATGGTGAGGTAAACTGAGGAGGCTGGCACAGTCAGTGACACTGTGAGACCCTCAGAGCCTGTCAGCTCGTGTATCTTAGAGGCTTCTGGGAAGTGCCAGGTTTCTTTTTTTTTACGGAGGACAACAGCAGATGCCACTGTCTTACAGATGCTCCAAAAGATGTGGCGGAGCCATTGGAGAGGGAAGACAATGGAATGAGCCCCGAATCCCTGGAAGACCCTTCTGCCAGCCTCAGACACCTACTTACTGCAGGCATGGTCCCAAACAGAATGGGTGAGGGGCTCCCAGAACACCTCTCCTAGGTCAGAGACTAATGATAGTTTGGATAAGGAAAACATCTGGGCCTGGAAGTCCTGAAACCAACCTGAAGTCCTTCAAAAGCTTGCTACTCACATGATCTCCCATACATAATTTCCACTCCTGTAAAAGTGTGTGTGTAGGATCTGGATAATTCCTTAAAATCACACCAACCCCATCTTGCAGAAACGTGTGTGTGTGTGTGTGTGTGTGTGTGTGTGTGTGTGTGTGGTGGGGTGGGAGGTATCGGCATCCCCTCCTCCAAACCAGGGTTTCACCAGCAGCCTGGGCATGGTGGGGCAAGGCAGAGGCTGAAGGCAGCAACTGCTCCAGGAAGCCTTTTGTCCAGAGCACCGGAAACCTCCTCTCTGAGACCACTGTACTTTTCCTCCCAAATCTGGGTCAGGGGATGGAGCCTGGGGAGTCATGAGAGTGATAGCAAGGGAGGCAGCTCCTGGCTGCACTTACTTCTTAGAAAAGAAAATGACAGAAGGGGAGAGGGAGTAAGAGGACCCCTGCGCTGCTTTTCTTTCTGACTTTTATGGACATAAGGTGCCAAGCAGGGTGGGTGTCTGAATGTAAGGGAGAGAGACTCCTGCCACAGTAAGTTCAGGGCATAGGTAGTGGAGCCAGATAAATAAACCTGTGAACCCTCCCGGTTGTGAGTTGATCTGGACTCATACAAGAAACATTTCTCCAAGGCTTGTTTTGTTTGTCTCAAATTTTGAAGCCCCATCAACCTAGAACATTCCACTTACAGCATCACTAGCGCCTGCTTAACTTTCTGTGTAAGCAGACTGGACTTCATCTCTTTCCATTGGCTGTGTAGTCTTTTAATCTGAGGTCCTGAAAGGGAGTCCTAAGAACTCCCTAAGGACAACCCTAAGAACTTGTCACTAGCTAGGTGTCTGACCTGTTGGGCCCTTCTCAACTCTTAGCCCCATTCATGGCCTGTGAGGATGAGAATTTTCCGAGGACTGGGTTCCAGGCAGCTCCCAGTAACAGAGCCCCTTCCTCACCAGCTGATGGCATCCTTAGACTTAAAGGGATTATTCCACTGGCTGGAGGCTGCACTTGGATGAAAGGGAGACTTCCTGACTTCCTACTCCCTCTTGGGCACTCTTGGAAGAAACAGCCTGCAAGGACTGCAAATCCCCCCTCCCCCCCCCCCCCCCAGCTCCTATGTGTATTCACATGGGCTTATCTCATTCACTGCAGTGACTGGAGGAGTTACAAGACACAGCACCTAAATTGGGAGAAAATGGGGGAGGATTAACCCTGATCCTGATTGAGATCCGGGTGGGAGAGGATACCACTACAATAATTCGCTTTCCCTTCAAGGGCAACATTGGGGTGAATGTAGGGACAGAGATCAGGGAACAGGGGCTCCAAAAGTCTGCAGAGAGCTCCCTTTCTGTAAGGAGCCCAGACCTATAGGGCTTTTTATTTGATGTCCTGGATTGAACCCAGGGCCTCACACATGCAAGGCAAGGACTCAATTGCTGAATTTTATCCCCAGACCCAACAGAGCTACTTTTGTTTATTGGGGGGTCACTCATTCCCAGGGGTCACTCCTGGTGGTGCTCCGGGGGTCACATGTTTCTCAATGCAAGACATGAGCCTAAACCCTTATGCCATCTCTCCGTATGACACAGCAACTTTTTCATATTAATCATTACTAGGTGGGTTTATTTTTTCCTTTCATTTTACACGCATGGAAACAGACATACAAAAAGCTTAAGAAATCTATATGTGGGAACAGACCTGGTAAGTTGTGAAGGCAGGAATGGGCCCCCACCCCATGGCGTGATTCCAGAACACTCGCACTTAACTATTTGCAGGAAACTGAGGCTGGGAAGAGGAAAGAACCTGCTTGCTGGGCGCGCAGCCTTGCCAGCATGGAGTGCGGTTGGCTCTCAGACACCGCAGGCTCGAGCTTTGACCACGGCGGGGCGCTGTCGGGGTAGCAGCCTGCCCATAGGCTCAGTTCCTGCCCATATTCAGGGCTCCTCTGCCCTTTCACACCACCACCCCCAATCCGAAATATATCCAGACTGAACTGGAACAACTCAGTTAGGTTCCCGGAGGAAGACTGGGTAAAAAGGTCTAATGTGATGGACAGGGAGCCGCCCGCAGGCAAGGAAACCGCGCAGGACCGACCCTTTGTGTTTAGGCTCCTGGGGGAGCCGGGAGGTGAAGGCAATGCTGGCTGGGGTTGAGGTTAGGGCTCGCTGAGGGAGTCTCCGCTGCCTGCATCTATGCTGCAAGAAGCCTGTGTGTGTGTGTGTGTGTGTGTGTGTGTGTGTGTGTGTGTGTGTGTATACGTGCGCGCGCGTGTGTACATGTGTGTGCTTATGCAGCCCGCCCGAGAGGGTTGTGTGTGTGTGTGTGTGTGTGTGTGTGTGTATGCGCGCGCGCGTGCATGTGTGCGCCTATGCAGCCCACGGAAAGCGCGTGTGTGCCTCTGCAGCCTCGCGGTGCGATCGGAGAGGGAAGGGGGAGATCGAGCGAGGGAGTCCCACACCCACTGGCAGACACCCAGTCAAACGCGGGGTTTCCACAGGAAACGGAGGCAGATTCACCGAGGGCCCCAGACACAGAGCCCAAGACAAACCGATTCCGAGAACGAGGTCGGAAGACAGGGCAAACTTGAGCGATGGGGCGGTGCGCGCTCGGAGAAATTCGCCCGAGCGGAGCGCCGCAGGGAAGTTTCGGGGAGGGACACTGGGCAGCCGGGGTTCTCCCGGGGGCAGAAGTGCCCCGCGCTTCTCTGGGGCTGGATGGCTGGACGGCCTTTGGAAGGGAGGAGAGGGGCGCAATCGAAAGTCTCACCTCTGCGAGGCCCCGGGCCGCTGGCACCCGGGTAGCTCCCGGCGGTCACTCCAGTGCGTCTCGCCGCGGGGCTCCGGCGGGCCCCGCTCGGGCCGCCCGGGTCCGGGTGCCTCGGGCAGGCGCTCGCGCTTCCACCGCGCGTCGGCCTTGGTGGCCCGGGGGGAGAGGATGGGCGTGGACGGTCGCTCCTTGCCCCGGCTCCGGCCGGGTCCGCTCGTACCCTGGCATCCGAGGGCCGCGTGCGTTGAAGTGGCCGCTCCGGGGGTCGCGGTCTCCCTGGGCTCCGCGGGGAGGTGGAGAACCCGTCCGGGGCCACCGGAGCCGAGCTCCCACCGCCGCGGCCGTTTGTTCCCGCCGGGCCCGGCGCGGAGACACTCGGCCGCCCCGCCCCATCCCGCTCGGGGAGCTCCGCCCCGCCTCCCGCTCTTCCGCCCTGGGCGGCCGCCGGGCGGGGGACCGGCCTCGGCTGTGCTGCCGCGGAGACCGGGGCCGAGATCGGCGGGCTCAGTTCCTCCCGTGCGCGCGCGGGTGCGGGTCCTCGCCGCGGGCGCCGCGAGCCTCCGGGCGCCCACCGCGGAGGCGCGCGGCCCGGCGGGGCCGCCAGGGGGCGCTGCGGAGCCGGGGACCCCCTCCCCGCCCGCCTCGTCCCCCGCCCCGCCCCGCCCGCGCGCAAAACACGTTCGCCCCGGAGGCAGCGCGGCGGAGCCCGAGCCGCGGCCGAGCGGAGCCGGGGACGGCGGCGGCGGCACCATGACCCTGGGCAGCTGCTGCTGCGAGATCATGTCCTCCGAGAGCTCCCCGGCCGCGCTGTCCGAGGCCGACGCCGACATCGACGTGGTGGGCGGCGGCGGCGGCGGCGGCGGGGGGGAGCTCCCCGCGCGCCCCGGGCCCCGCGCCCCCCGGGACGTGCTCCCGCCCGGCCCCGCGCCGCCCCGGGAGGAAGCCGAGGCCGACGCGGCCGAGGACGGAGACGAGTCGGGCGGCTGCTCGGACGGCGAGCCCCGCGCGCTCGCGTCCCGGGGGGCGGCGGCGGCCGCGGGCAGCCCGGGAGCCGGGGCGGCGGCGGCGGCGGCCCGGGGCGCGGCGGGGCCGGGGCCGGGAGCGCCGTCGGGGGGCGCGGCGACGCGGAGCCCGCTGGTGAAGCCGCCCTACTCGTACATCGCGCTCATCACCATGGCCATCCTGCAGAGCCCCAAGAAGCGGCTGACGCTGAGCGAGATCTGCGAGTTCATCAGCGGCCGCTTCCCCTACTACCGGGAGAAGTTCCCCGCCTGGCAGAACAGCATCCGCCACAACCTCTCGCTCAACGACTGCTTCGTCAAGATCCCCCGCGAGCCGGGCAACCCGGGCAAGGGCAACTACTGGACGCTGGACCCCGAGTCGGCCGACATGTTCGACAACGGCAGCTTCCTGCGGCGCCGCAAGCGCTTCAAGCGGCAGCCGCTGCCGCCGCCGCACCCGCACCCGCACCCGCACCCCGAGCTGCTGCTGCGCGGCGGGGCCGCGGCGGCCGGGGACCCGGGCGCCTTCCTGCCGGGCTTCGCCGCCTACGGCGCCTACGGCTACGGCTACGGCTTGGCGCTCCCGGCCTACGGCGCGCCCCCGCCGGGCCCGGCGCCGCACCCGCACCCGCACCCGCACCCGCACCCGCACGCCTTCGCCTTCGCCGCGGCCGCCGCGCCCTGCCAGCTGTCGGTGCCCGCCGGCCGCGCCGCCGCGCCGCCCCCCGGACCCCCGACGGCCTCGGTGTTCGCGGGCGCAGCCTCGGCGCCGGCGCCGGCGCCGGGCACAGGGTCGGGCCCGGGCCCCGCAGGCCTGCCCGCCTTCCTGGGCGCGGAGCTGGGCTGCGCCAAAGCCTTTTACCCCGCGTCGCTGAGCCCGCCCGCCGCGGGCACCGCCGCGGGCCTGTCCTCCGCGCTCCTGCGCCAGGGCCTCAAGACTGACGCGGGGGGCTGCGCGGGCGGCGCGGGCGCCGGGCCGGGGCAGCGGCCTTCCTTCTCCATAGACCACATCATGGGCCACGGCGGCGGCGGCGGCGGGGCCGCGCCCCCGGGCGGGGGCGAGCGCTCCCCGGGGTCGCCGTTCGCCGCGGCGGGGCCTGGGGGTCAAGCGCAGGTCTTGGCCGTGTTGACTGCCCCGGCCCTGGCCCCGGTGGCCGGCCACATTCGCCTCTCGCACCCCGGGGACGCCCTGCTCTCCTCGGGGCCCCCGTTCGCCGGCAAAGTCGCCAGCCTCGGCGGCTGCCACTTCTGACCGCGTCGGGCTCCGGCCAGCCAGGCCCGCACGCCCCAGCGCCTCCCGGAGCGGCCGCGGCCCCCGCGGAACTCAGGGAGTCTATTTATGAAGCGTCCCAGACCGGCCCGCGCAGGACTCGGCCGACAGGCTCCGCCGCGCCCGGATCGAGCCAAGAGTTGGGGCGAAGCGGGCTCCCTCCGTCGCTCAGGGAGAAGCCCGGACCCCGCGACCAGGTCGCCCGCTGCGACAGCCGGCCAGCTGGAGCGGGCCGCGGGGCTGGAGGCGGCTCACGCGCCTAGCCCCTGCGCCCCTCCGCCGCCCGGAGGAAGAAGCTCTCCGGAGAGACGGCCGCCCAGGCCCTTCGGATTCCGGGATTCTGCCAGAAGCACCCCAGACGCACGGAGGTCCCCCTTTCCGCCTCTCGAGCACCCCTTTCCCGACTCGGAGGCTCTGCTCAGCCAATATTATAATTTAAAGACACCTATTAACCGCTTTGTGCATAGAAGAAAATTTCAGCTTTCCCCCTCCTCTTGGTATTCTCCAAGGAAGTTCGTTCTTTCCGAAGCCCAGAGAAACGTCTACACAGGCGAAGCTGAATCCGGAGGTGAAGCAAGGGCTCTCGACACCCTTCGCCATGCCTCGGATACCTCTCCCTGGAGGAAAATTTGTCCTCTTTTGTGTTGGGGTGCTTTGGAAGGAACTGGCCTCTTTCCCCGTGGCCGGCTGGGTCCAGCCATTCCAAGCCTGCAGCCCCTCAGCGTTCAGCTCTGCCCCAGCCCTGGGATATTTATTGTAGCTAAAGGCAAGACATTGGGGTGGGAGAGGCGGGTCTGGGTCAGGGTCTGCAGAGGTGGGGGTGGGGTAGGTCAGGGCACTTCCCGTGGCAGGGGGTCCTGTAATTGTGTGTAAATATATCTACAGCGGCTGCTGGGTTCTCTGTCCACTGGGTGTGCAGCAATTTTCGACTTCAATCTGGGGAGACTGTGAAATTGTTTGATGGTTTGTGCAGCAGAAAAGAAAAAAAATTGTTCATTCCCCTTCCCCTTTCTCCTCCCTCCCCAGTCCCCCTCAGTGTCAACTGAATAAACGTCTGTGAACTTCAGCAGTCACCCGCTCTCTGCTCGCCTGCATGCTCCTTTGCCAGTTGGGGATGCTCCCAGAGGACCCTGTCTTCCAGGCAGAGCGAGGAAGGAGTGGAGAAGAAGGAGGTGGGCAGGCAGAGGAAGGCCAGGGCTTCCTTGAACCCAGAGGGTACTCTGCTGTGCTTTCCCTTCCGTGGTGCATGGGGCAGGGCTAGGGCTCCACTGACCCCTCCAGCACTTTCGTTTTCACTTGGATCTCGGGAAGGTTTTCACTCTGCTCCTGAGAAGGTGCCGCACTGAGATCTTGTTTCAGATGCACCTGGGGCTTGCTCATCTCCTTTGGGTCCCGACCTTACTTTGGCCTGGGCAGATGTGTGTCAGGTATATGTACACACACTTCTCACCACGTGGAGGGAATATGTCTTTGAGGCTTATTTGGTTGGCCTCTGCCTCTGTGTGGCTGGGGCTTCTCTGGAGTTTGTGATTTGTATTTGTGATTGTTCGATATCCTCGCCTTTTTGCCCTCTCCCCCTTTAAAAAGGGAGTTGTGATTTGTAGTTCTGGAAATCTGTGTTTCTGTTTCTCTGTGTGTTCAAGAAATTCCTGTATGTTTCTGAGTTTGTCATAGTCTCTTTGTCCACAAGAGGAGGAGCTCTTTTCCTCCTCTTTCCCCCAACAGGACAGGTAGGACAGTCCTAAGGAAAGGTTGGAGTTGGAGACAGAGGACCAATTCTTTCCTTCAGCTGGAGATAAAGAGGAGACTTCATCCAACAGGATGAACCTCCCAAGCCTTGAGTGTGCTACTACCAGCAGCATTACCTCAGGGCAGTCACTGGACTGGAGGGATCATCGGTAACATCCCCCACCTCCACCCCACTTTGCTGCAAGTGCCTGCCCAGTGGTCAGATTTGTGAGTATGTTGGGAGAGAGGTGATGCTTTGTCTGAAATAAAGATTGTTAGTCTTCACTCTGTACATTCAACTGAGATAGAGGAGAGGAAGGAAAACATGGAGGGCAGCCTTCAGAAAATAGACACATGCAGAGGGCATGAGCATCGGGAGACAAGTGACAGTGAAGGAAGAAGACAGGCTCAGAGGACTGGACGGACGCAGACAGCATGAGAGTTGCCGGCGCAGAGGAACTATCCAGGTCTCTTCTGACAGACAAATCTTCCAGCACTAGTGCGAGTAGGAAGGGAAGAGGTGGCAAGGGGAGGGCTCTGTAGGAAGAGAGTTAGAATGAGAATTTGGGTGGGAGAAAGCCCCCGTGGCCCAGGAAAGGTGGTTCAGACTCTAGGGTCTCTCAACCCCTTCTGGAATGAAGGCCAGCCGTGGTTCAAGGTGCAGATGATAAATGCAGCCTCTCTATCAGGGATGAGCTGCGCCCTCCTCCATCTTGCTGGGAGACTCGGAATGGAGGAGAGAGAATGCAGTGGGTCACCAGTCCATGAATTTTATCAAACGGGCCAGAAGTAAGGGTAGAAATAAATAGTGTAAGAAATGGGAAATGTCTGCTAATAGTGGGATAATGGTCTCTGACTGGCTGTTTAGTTGACCTTCTTTGCTGAATTTGGTTTAATTTCTTTTTTCTTGAGAACGGTTGACTGCGTGTGTGCCTGCAGCGGGCGTGCCCCCAATAAAGCATTTTGTAGCTTACACGATCTCATTTCTATGAGGATGTCACTCTCAGTAAATAGGTGGAAACTTTGAGTACGATTTGTCAATTGGCTTCACTATAAGCGAGAGAATGAAGCCAGCTGGGATTCATATCTAGTGGTGGATAGATACGTGATACTTCTATAATAATTTCCAGGAGAAGCAACAGATCCTTCTAGGCTACTCCTTTTGTGTTTGTAAAAGAGAGAGAATGTGCGCGTGTATGTTGGGGTGGGCTGTGTGTGGATACAGATGTATTGATTTTCTGATGTATTGATGTATTGCTTGGGGGGATGTCTATGTATGTCAGAGAGTCCTTATCAGGAAAGGGTAGAAATGAGGGTTGGGTACCTCTAGGGTGCTCTTTACCCCAGATGTATGACTCGGATCACTGTGGGTCGGGAGGATCAGGTCTTGGTTAGACAAAATTATGGCTGAGGATTAGGGTCCAGAAAGATGTTGCTGATGCCCATCTGGCTTTGAAAAATAGCCGAAAAGGGAATTGTAGGGAGAGTTCTGTTGTTTAAGGCAGGTGAGAGGAATGAATGTTTGGAACTCGGGATTCCTTTAGGTTGCCTGAGCAACTTGTTAATGGGATGGGGAAAGGGAGGGAAAGGAAAAAAAGGAAAAGGATAAGGGAATTGTTATGGGGTAGAGTCCTCTGTCCCCCCCCCCCCCCCCCCAAGGACGGGCTTCCTCCTGCCTTTGAGTGCGTTAAGCGAGGATTCCCAGTGTAAGGTGGGTGACTTAGGAGGCCTGCCTTGGGAGAGCAGTGTTAGCGCATCCCATCTGGAGCAGCTCCTGCGGGTTGCCATGCTGTCTGGGTGGAGACAGCTGAGTTTCTGCCCTGCAGACCTCAACAATTGGTGACAATAATCAGAAAATAATCCAGGGCACACCTTCATCTCCCGAGGTGAGAAGAAAAACGCTAAGAAATCGGCCAGGGGTTCAGAGAGTGCTGCCAAGAGCCGGCAGTTTAAAGGGGAAGAAAATTGGCGAATTTCACTGGTCAATTTCACTTCATTTCGTTCAATTTCGTTCAATTTCATTCCTTTTCATCCAGCGCCGGGAAGCCCGCGGCCAGGAGGGGGGCGGGGAGGGTCTCTTTCCGGCCGAATTTCTCTGTCTCTTGGATTTACTCTACCAGGTTGAGAACAACCTTGATTGTCCAGTTCTGGAACACGTCTTCAACCGGGGCCGTGGCCTGACATTTTATTCTATTCTATTCTATTCTATTCTGTTTTAGGGACAGTTGGGTGATCGAGCGCGTCGGTGAGCCTTTCCCCCACTTTCTCTTGCAGTCCAATTAAAGTGCTTAATTCTTTTCACCGCTGATTCCTCTCCATCTTTCTTTCTCCGGGGGCTGGAGGGACCACCCAGGAGCCGGAGCTGAGGTGGGGGTGGACACTTCCCCTCTATATCCAATTTGTTCTCACCACCACGGGTGCGTCTTCGTGGTTACAAAGCGTTTTCCCCCGATAACGTTTTTCTCTTTTTCAAAAACACTTTTCTCTCCTTCCACCAGCAACCCGCCCTCTCCGCTGCGGTTTATTTAAACTTCGCCTCCTTCAGCGCCGCCGCAGCGCGCACTTAATGAAGTTGAAGGCTCGGTGAGCCCGGGTGAAGAGGGTTTGGAATCTGTTGAAAGGGGCGTTTTGTGACACTGATTGGGGCGGGGGCGGGGGCGGTCTCGAACCAGACAATGACAGATCAGGCGGGTTTTTCTCCGCTCTGGGTCAGGCGAATAAAAGGCGCCGACGACGCGGTTTCAACGAGGGGTCTGGCGAGAGAAAGGGAGAAAAGCCTTCGAGTGCGGAGCGTGCCTCGTCTGATTTCGCGCTGCGGGGCGGGGGGCGGGTGTCGGTTGGGGGGAGGCCTTTGCGGACCCCTGCGCATCCCGACAAAGGAAAGCGAGGGGCGGGAGGGGGTTGGATTTGCGTCTAAATTATTTCGATCCATGATTTCAAAAAGATTGTCCAAAGATGGGGAGTGGAGGTGAGTCCAGGAGGACCAAGCAAAGGGATGATGAGTGCGATGAGACCAAGCGCCTTCAGGCCCTGGCGGGGGCATGCGGGTGTTTGCGAAGAAAGGTCGAACATTACAGGTGCGCGAAGGTTGAAGAGGGTAATTCCGCCACCCAAGCTTTTGGTCTAAAGGGTATCTGGAAACAAACGAATGTTAATGGAGTGTGAGAGCGGGGTGTTCTGTTCTTTAAGGTCGACAAAGGCGGGTGCCCACAGGAGAGCCTTGGGGATGGGGGTGAGGGGTAGGACCAGGTTGTCTGCGCGGGTTTCCCGAGCGTTTCGGCGGCGTGGCGCGGGGTGGAGTGGGCACCGCCTCCTTTGCTAGTGATGTTCGATGCTCGCGGGCAGATGCTCTCGGGGGCGGCTGCTCCGG